AGAAAATTAGATAGATGTTTTATTGATAGATAGAGGAGAGCTCCGAGCCTCTGTTCCGTGCGCGCCGCCATCTTGTAATTTTTTTTTAGTTTTTTTTAATTGTACTTCCTTACTCTACATTTAATGCAAATAAAAATACAACAATAAGACAATTAATTATTTTCCCCATTGCTTTTCCATGTTCTTTCCCCTATTGCTTTCGCCAAACAGCTAAACTGTCAATCAACTGGTTTTGGGCGGGCATTCCTGCCCAGGTTGAGTAGTCAATAGGGGGCATGCACATGACGTCACAGCAGGCGGAAGTCACTGCGCTCACACCCACTGAGTGGCAGCGTTGACGTGCGTCTTGAATGCTTTGAAAACATGTCTAAAATGGGAAAGAGCTGTCGTGCAATTGATTCTACAAAACGATTTTACAAGAAATTGGATCTCTTTTTACAGACAACCAAAACCAAAGAAAAGAACCAAATGGATCGCTGCAATCCGCAGCAACAACTGGAATCCAATCCCCGAAACGTGGATTTGCGGTTGTCATTGTGTCAATTACGCTGGATTTTTGGGTAAAATAATATCTTAAGTTATATACTATATTAGCCACTCATAAATTAAATATTTAGCATCCTTAATTTATATAATGTGTAACTATAAAGTTTTTGTCCGCATTTATTTAAAACATCCCTGACGATGACCCTTGTGGTCTAGATTAAAGGACTACACCACAAAACAAGTTTAGCCAGCCAGGTTTATACAAAATGTGTTGTTGGGAAACCTGATTGCTGGCCATATTTCGGTGTCAATGGACGGATCACTGTCGAGTAACTGTCTTTTATATAAGCAAATAATCGTTTGATTCGCAGTTTCCCCGACTAAAATCAGCCACGCTGCAGCATGTTTTGCCGCTTTAGTTTGTCTGGGGTGGGCGTGTTCCGGCGGGAAGGCTCGTTCAAAGCCAGTTGATTGATAGCTTGGCCCTTTGAGAAAAAGCAAGGCAATAAAGAAAAAGCAATACAGTTAGAGAAAGGCAAAAGGCGATAAAGAAAAAAAACTTATTTGTATTAGTTTTTTTTTACTCAACATTTATTTTCATATTCTTTCACAGATTGATTCTTTTTATGGCACTCCTGGTACTCCCGAAATATATTTATCATATGGTCAATTAAAGGGTGTGCTAAAGTGGAAGGAGACCCCAGATACCGCATGGTACAAATACATTTATACATCTGGATGTTCACATTACATCCCCATCACATTTACAAACCAAATACGCAAACGATCATGTCCACAAGCACCACACATGTGTAACGGTTGCAGTCATATTAGTTGTATATTTATGCATGTTAATACAAATATTTACATTCTTATACGGCTTCACTTTGTATGATAAAGGGGACTTTTGTTTTGAAATTTGGGTCTGTGACGTGTGTGGAGAGATGAGGGAGTTCTGACGAGTTGAGCAACCTATCGAAACGTGCTATCGAGCCTTTCTGCGCATGTGCAGTTCCACCGTCTTGGCATTAGGGTTGGGTTTTAGGGTTTAGGGGTTTTTAGCACTACGGTAGCCTAACTCGACAAAGTAGCTCAACTCGTCAGAATACCGGCATTATGCGCACTGCTGAAACGGCAAGAAATTGCCACACATATGACTTTATATGGCGAATGTGTACCAGTTATGTCAATCTCTGGCTAAAGTACATACATAAAAACCTTATTATCCTTTTTAACACAAGTCAGATACGATCCTAGCCAAAGGTCTTAGTGGTACTTAGGAAGGCTGACTGTTTCTTTAAACCAGCAGCTCTTGACCTTGCTGTAGGCCACTCTGGTGACTCAGAGCCTTCGCAGCAGTCAATGGATCCACCTGTGCCCTGACCATGATTGAAGGCTGGTTGATGTGCCTCACAGATTACAGAAGCTTCAGGAGTGTCCTGGCTTTCTTACGTCAACCTCTGGTGCAATCTGACTATTTGTTTTCATCATACATTTATATTTGTGAATCATATTGTTTTACATTTAATGCTTTAAAATTTCTACCTGTGGAATGATCAACTAGTCCAACAAAGGTCTACCATGCAATTGGAAAACAAAAACAGGTCTACGTAACATTACAACCATTTTGCCATAAGTATTGATTGTTTAATTCATTAAGTCTGGAAATTTTAAATTCACATTAAAGATTTTTTTAGACTCCACTGAAAAATCCAAGTAAAATACATGCACTCCATGTTGTGGAGTTGGTGATACTTTGTGGGAGGGGGGTCCCAAGTAGATTTTTCTATTCAGGGGTGGGTCCTCCTCAGTAGGTTTTGAGAAACAGGAGGAGTTGTCCCCCCCATCCCCTTCAATATATTTTGCCAGCTGGGGGTGGGGGGGGGGTTTGCCTCTCAGTAGATTTTGTTGATGGAGGCATTGGGGGTGGGGGCTGGTCGGTGTAGCTCAAACACATTTTAAATACGGGGCTCACACTTACAGAGGTGGGGGTTCATGTGCTGTCTGTGTGTGGAGCCTCCTGTACTTGACAGGAAGAAGAATAGATTCTGAATCATATTTTGATAAAAAGTAATTTGGTTTCCTCCTGAGTTTCTTGCAATCCTCCATTGCACCACAAGCCCAACATACCGATGACTTTCAAAAAGAATAAATTGCGTCTGATAAATGCGATTGATCCTTATTTACATCAATTAGAAAGAAGTAGTGTGATATAAACGACATTTACTAGCTAAAAACACACAATAAAATTAATTTACAAAACAGGGACACAACCACAGAGTTTCCTCCTCTGTAACAAGGTCACACCACCTAGGCCTGCTTCTGCTTCTTTTTGTCAGATGCCACATCATCTACCAAAGAGGGGAATTCTGGACAGTCTAGAGCTTATTATCCAAGAGAAGATCAAATGTTGTTCTCGTACTTTTCTATTGCATTTGTGATATGAACACACATCTAAGCATCTTTATCCCAGGAAATATACCTTATGCCCATTTCAATTTCACTGCAACTAACTTACAGGATAAGCATATTATTTGCACCCTGGGTGATTCACTACAAAATGGCCTGTTTAGTAAGCTGAAATTTAATACGTTACTGCAGTGGGTCTCCACTAAGCCACAGAGAATGCTGACAGACATTTATTCGAGCCTTAATTTTGAAAAAACCGCAAACATGAAGCAGTTGAAACAGTAATGTAATTTTTATTTGCTGTTTAGTCAATGCTCTTATTCAAAAGTAACTGCATATGTTAAATTATGCACTGCAGTACTAGTTGAATGACTATATAATTGTTGACATTATGTAACTGCACAAGATAAGAATCTGATAAGAGAATAAGTCATAAGTGTTGTTTAAAGAGATGCACATGTTATAGTGTACGTAGTAGATCTCCCTAGTCTGTCGCATTTCACTGTGGTACAACAAGGAGTCATAATGCATCCAACTGGTATTTTCATTTAGAATCCAAACTGGGTTTGGAGATATAACAGCAGGTGAAAATGACTGTTCTCTAACATTTCAGCCTAAATTTCTGAGAGCTTGGGTTTAAGAACAGAATAGACAAAAACTGCAACATCGAGAGGTGTGATTCTGGAAGAAACATGAAACATTAAAAGAGTCACAGTTATAATCTCTGCCAAAAGTACCGCTACTAAATATTTATGGAATTGGCCATTTTCCGTTATTTTCATTCATTATTTAGATGGATCGTTTACATTCTGTTATCATTTTGACGTTGCAGGTTCTATTGCACAGTGCTGAAGAATTTCAATTAGGCACATCATGATGTGTGTAACATTACGTCATGCTCTATTGTACCACACATGCTGATAGCGGTCAGTGCGGAGAGCAGGAAAAGCAGTCGTCAATCACAGGAATGTCTGCTTTTAAGGGAACAGAGGCCACTCTCTTTCATTATGCCTTCGTTTCCACAGAAAGTCATCCTCATTTCCACCCACACCTCAGCGCTGAGTCATTTTCTCTGTACAGTTACTGTTTGATGGTATCTAATTTGCAGCACCAATACAAGAAATGTAAAAAAAAATGGCTATGAATGCTGGCTGTGATCTCTGTATTACCAGTACCAGACACAAAAACACACATACATTGATAACTTTTATTCATATGATTTCAGAACAGATTTCTGGAACTATTTGTTTAATGAGCTACCTGATAGTTTTGATGTTTTGTCTATGATGTTATTTATGAAGCATTACCGGCAACTGCACTGGAATTTTTGATTTAGGAAAAGGTTTTAATAACCTTATTTAGCTACCCGACTATTAAAAGCTTTACTTTCTACTTCAGGTGGCCATTACATTCAGGGTACTTTATACAGAAAATAACTGTAAAACAGTTTGCACAACTCAGGCGAATGAGAAATTCCACCTCCGTTAAAGCACTATTTAAAAGTCCAAAACTGGTTATCATAATGGTGGCCAAATAACTAAAAACGGCTTTTCAGTGATATTCTTTCTATAGGCCAGTACACAGACATAACACTTTGGCCGCGGCCACACACACACACACACACCTGTCGGCAGCTTCCACGTTACCATCAACAGAAACCCGATACAGCCCAAACTTTCAGGCATGTTTCTGCATTATTATGTTCAGGTCGGGGGAAGAACATATATATAACTGTAATAATTTCAAATATATTTAACACAGTTGTTTTAAGTGGGAAATCTTTTCCGTTTACTTCACAATCATGGAGAAAAAAATTCTTCAACACAGACCTTCATTAAAACAAGTAAGCATTTCACGGTCAAGCGATTTCAAGATATTACAGCGTCATTTAATGTTTTCTGGATATATCTGTACAGTTCCTGAAAATCTGAGCAATACCTTGCTAGCTTCTTTCGCCACAGTTCCACCTTAATACGATGTAAACATTAGTATAGAAGGGGGAAAGCTTTACTCGTGTCATTGATGAAGCAGGAGCTCCTCCGTGCTGAAAATGCCAAACACAGCTTATGCAAACGCATTTGCAAAAGAAGGATGTGAGCTCTTACCGTGTAAAAGCCCATCCGGCAAAGAGCCGGGGAGAGCCGCACGCATTCGGACATGGTTCTCGGCGACGGCGTGACGCCCTACAGCAGCTAGCGAGCCGAATTGATGAATGAGGACAGGAAAGGAAGCGACGGCGGGGACGATGCGACTTAAGGGAGCCCCGCCGCGGCCCCAAAGCAACTTCCGCGGATTCCCCAATGCCCAGGCGCAATCAAGCGGCACTTACTCCAGGTTAGTGTTGGGATATCTCCATGGTGATTAAAGGATCAGTGACCTTTACCTTCCCAAGTAACACTGCCAACTGGGCTACAGACACTTGAAGGTAAAAAGAAACGAAAGAGGTAATTAATGTAGGCCTACGTGTTGCATTCATTTAGATACTCTATATTCTGTACAGCTCCAACATGCTCTTCGACAATATAAATCTTTGTCTCTGTTTCCCATTAATCAAATATGTTTTCCATTACCTCTGCTGTCAAGCGTTAAATTGAAAACAAATAAAGAAAGAGATTAATCTTCTCCAATACAGCATTGAGGAAAATGATACATGGCCATTGTAATATAAAGGAGGAAGGAGAGGCATCCACACGCGAGTCATATATATATATATACAGTATATATATATATATATATATATATATATATTTGTGTGTGTGTGTGAGAGAGAGAGAGAGAGAGAGAGAGAGAGAGAGATAATATAGTGAAGTATTATTATACAGTGACTATGTTTATGAAAGGGTGGTTTGGTCCCCCCAGCAATCTTATTTAATATTTTTGAAGTCATGTACAGAATGATACAAGTTTAATGAACAGTGTCATAACAGTGTTAATTTTTCTAAGGGGGTGTATATTGGATGATAACAAATCAGATTAAATACTAGCTTTGTCTGGTTTTTATAGTCTAACGCAATAACAACAAAATAATAATTTAAATATAAAGTTGTTTTATTATTAATTACTGGCTAAATGTTAATGTGCAGGCGGCATGGTGGTGCAGTGGTTAGCACACCTCTGGGACCTGGGTTCGAGTCTCCGCCTGGGTCACATGTGTGTGGAGTTTGCATGTTCTCCCCGTGTTGTCATGGGGTTTCCTCCGGGTACTCCAGTTTCCACCCACAGTCCAAGGACATGCTGAGGCTAATTGGCGTTGTTACATTGCCCTTAGGTGTGCATGTGTGAGTGAATGGTGTGTGAGTGTGCCCTGTGATGGGCTGGCCCCCCATCCAGGGTTGCTCCCTGCCTCATGCCCGTTGCTTCCGGGATAGGCTCCGGACCCCCCGCGACCCAGTGGGATAAGCGGGTTGGACAATGGATGGATGTTAATGTATTTTTGTTTTTCTAATAAAATTTTGTCACCACTTTTATGAGACCTGGCCAACACTCTAAGCGTCTAAATTAAACAATGCTTATCTGGCTTCTGTTCTGCATCTTACCTAGAGGTGCCACGCACACAACAGGCATATAAAACGCCAGCATCTGCCTCTCCCTTGGTCAAGTGGAGAAAAAGTCAGATTCCATCAGCTTGGTTTAGTGGCATGATAGAGGCACACATTTGTCACTGATACGTCAGACTGGGCTGATAGTGATCGCCACGCATTTTCCCCTGACAGTGGGCCTCTGTCTCCCGCAGCAAAAAGAAATTCATCAAGTGTCACCAAAGCACTGTTCTGTCGATAACAAGATGTTGGAATCACTGCCAAATAAATCTGAACCGCTATCAAGAGCTCACAATGAAAAGCAGAGGAATAACCCAAGAGATCAATGAAGTATTGTCCTGCGAGGGTCACCACTGAGCTGAAGTCATCCGTTTATGATTGTATAGAGTTCACGGGGTATGGCTTTGTGGAATAGCAGCAATTACTGCAAAGGAGAGTCCTGCTAGGCGTTATTGTTCCCATTCAGGGGAGAAAGGCCTGACTGTAGACACCCTGTCCAACCCCTTGCATTGGTACTATTGAGGATTTAGCAGTGACATGCTTTTATATCTCATTCATGCTAATTAATCTCACTACTTGGAATGATGAGTGTCAGTGAAATATAAGACCCCTTGGTCATTTTTCCACATATGATATCTGTTCTGGGAACCAGTGCAGTTCAATTAATGTCATAGGTACCTTGTTATCTGATGGTTTATCTAAAACAAGCTTGAGAAGATGCCTAAGAGAGATGGTATTAAAAGCTTGTTACCTCCAGTGAATAAAATAATCTGTTCCTATTTGCGCGTCATTCCAAATCAATACTTAGTGGATTGAGTTCGGTTGAGTGCTGATTTATTTGCTTGATCAAACAAGCTCACCACGTACAGCTCCATTTTGGGACCACTACAGGATTTTTCTAAAGGAGGAGTCAGTGTCATACAGCTGGAGACACAGCAGTGTACCAACATCTGTATACACTGGGATGAATGTTGGTGACAGCCACATAAACGTTTACATTACATCTATTACTAAGCAGACGGTTTTTTTCCACCTCAACGTGACATACAAGTGAGGATCAGACAGGTTCCCTGGAGAAAATGGAGTTAAGGGCTTTGCTCAACAGTCGCATCACCCAGCCAGCTCCAGGATGTGAACCGGTTCACCATCCTCTTACACAGTGCACACATCTGCACAAGACCTATTTCTAATCCAAGACACCTCAGATCAGTGAGCATTTTTACATTTATGGCAAAACTGACAGGTTGTAAACACGATTGACCTAGTATTGCTCTGAGAGGTTTCACTCTGATCCTACAGAAAATCTAATACAGCAGTTCACTGTCACTGCACGGTGGTGCAATAGCCGCCTCTGGCCTGCTCATGGACATCTTTGGCAAAGCTCTAATGAGGCGATTAAACCGCATATGGTATGCAGCGTAAATGTCCTTCTAAGCTGTCAGGATTGCTCCCTGCCTTGTCCAGTTCTGGTCATCGTTTCCCTGTTATGCCAGCAGGTGTCATCATTCTGTTCTCTGTGTTCTAGATGGCTGAATAGCTGAGTGTGTGGAGTTGGTGTCTTTGTTCCTGATTATCCCTGCCTGTGTCTACTTCTGTAGCTATGTCCTGTAATCCTTGTATCATAAGAACATAAGAAATTTACAAATGAGAGGGGGCCATTCGGCCCATCAAGCTTGTTTGGGGAGAACTTAACTAATAGCTCAGAGTTGTTAAAATCTTATCTAGCTCTGATTTAAAGGAACCCAGGGATTTATCTTCCGCTACACTAGCAGGAAGACTATTCCATACTCTAACTACACGCTGTGTAAAGAAGTGCTTCCTCAAATTTGTTTTAAAGTGTATCTCCTGTGTTCCTCGTAGCTCCTAGTCCCTGGGTTTAACTAATTGTTAATGATGATCTATTCCTTGTTTAGATCTTGTTCTCTGTGTATATATGTTCCTTCCCATGCCCTGTTCCTCTGTTGCTCAGTGCATGAGTTACCTGCTAGTGTCTATGTTACCTGAATCTACTTCTGTTGGATGTTACCCACTAAGTACTCTATTTGGAGTCCATGTGTTCCCTCTGTGTTTTCTTGTGTTTAGTTTAGCCTTGTTAAGTTCTTAAAGTGCCTACTTGCCTTAGTTTAGACCAGGGCTATTCAACTCAGGCCCTCGATTCCAAATCCAGGCCTTGTTTTCAGTTCTCCCAGGTAGTTAGTTTAATATTTACTGATTTTGATTGGTCAGAGGCTTCACACCTGACTGACAGGTAAAGGAAGGCTGGAAAATCAGCAGGGCTCGGCCCTTGAGGACCATGAGTTGAATAGCTCTGGTTTAGACCAACCCTTATGTTAATCGTTCTTTTGAGTCAAGTTGGTAATAAACTCTCTTTGTCTGTAAGCTGCACAGTGGATCGTTGTCCATCATGCCCAGCTGTGGCATAAACAGAAAGTGACATTTCCATTCCTAAATAATGATCATAACAATTCATGAAAAGGTAACAAAATTATGTATTAAATATGTACACAAATGTGATTTTCCATGTCTTAAACATGAAATCAACAATAAGAAGAATATTTTGACAATATTTCTAAATTCGTTTGAGCTACTGCCATCAGACAGAAGGTGCAGGTCATCTAGAGCCCAGACTACCACACATAAGAACAGTTTGCCCCCTGTGGTACCCAGGCTGGACTGGGCATTAAAGGACTCTCACATATAACCCCCATGCACTGCTCCCCACGTACTATCTACCACATCTGTACTTTTGCACACTTTTTTTGGCTGTTTTGTAAATGTTGTTTTCATCTTACATGCCTTGTGTTTTTGTTTGCATCACTCAGTCTTGTTGTGCTGATGTGTACAATGACAACATTAAAGAACTGAATTGAATTTGAAGTAAACAGTGTAACAAATCTTAATTCTGTCGATGAAAAAATTAGTACACCCTTGATTAAATTCTACAAATAAGTAATCTTCTAATACTTCGTGTGTCCATCATTACTTTCTAGCACTGCACCAGCCGTTCTCGTCACTGAGTTCATGGCCTCCCGTTACATCTATCCTGTACCATTCTTGGAGAATGACCTCCTCAGCTGCCTTGTTTTTTGAGAGCTAACGCTGTGCAGCTTCTCTCTTCAAATTTCCCTGAAGGTGCTTAATGGTGTTGAGGTCAGATGACATACTTGCCTACTCCAGCATTTTGTACTTGCTCTGGATCGCAGCAGTGAACGTTCGGGACATTGTCACTTTTTAACATAAAAAGTGTTGAACAACCCAAGGCACGGAGAGAAGGTAGCATTCTCTCTCGTAGGATCTTGTAGGGATTGGCGATATGGTCAATTATTTCATCTCAATATTTTTTTTTCAATTGAGCCCCTACTTTTTGATTTACTTTTGCTACTGTGTTTTGGTTAAATGCCAGTTATTTGCAAATCCTCGTATGTACTTGTCCTTTTCGTACATGAAAAGTTTTAAGTCTCCAGACAATTCTCTCTGAAGTGGCATCATTGTGAGCATTATGTCTGGATGAAATAAAATGGCTTAAATGCTCTTAGATGAGGATGAACCAGTTACACCTGTTTGAGTTTCATGGTTCAACAGACAGAATCTATTGATCAATATTACATATTGAAAAACAGACTATAATTTGTAAAGAGAGATAACTGAATTAATTAGCTTTCATGGAAGGTGTACTAATTTATGTTGTATACACCAGATATTTAGCCAAAACACAGAGTATTTACTTGTCAATCACAGCAAAGATTATCATACATTTTGTCAATGGATTAATTG